ATAATAATAATTTTGTAGTGTCGTAATAATAACAATATTAAGACACCACAAAATTATATTATTATTATTATCATGACTAATTTGAGTGTTAAGGTCAAGACCCTTGAGTATTATATATAATATAACTTTACTATATTAAATTATAGATTAAGGCCCTATACCATTATATAGAATACATATTTACCAAATTAAATATTACTTACAGGAACTGACAATAATATTAATTATGCAAATTTACCTGGCTGATTAAAATGTTAAGGTGAAGACCCTACAATATTATACACACATTTAAAGTGTCTTCTTCAGATAAAGCCAGGTTTCTATGGGGTATATATGAGAAGTTATCAATATATCAACATTACCTGGAGGTCCCCAGATCTAGACTCTGTACCAAAGGTGGCCGAGCCTTTTCAGTGGCCGGCCCCAAACCGACCGCTGGACATTAGGACTGCTCAGACTGCTGAAACTTTTAAGTCTCGGCTAAAGACTCACCTCTACTCGATGGCCTTCACCTCGACATCATGGATGCATATATATGTGTGGTTTTTATTGTTTGCTCATATATGTTCTTTTCGTGTTGAGTATAAGTTTGTAAAGCACTTTGGTCAAGCCTGGTTGTTTTTAAATGTGCTATAGAAATAAAATTGACCTTGACCTTAACACAATGTCTCAGTAAAGTGACACAGAGAGAGAACAGGACTGAAGTGGAAAACTTTGTGTAGTTGAACATCATCAAACATTCTCATCATGTCTACGGACATATTTATTATTATTAATATTATTCAACCACAAATTTAGAGAAATGTCATCATCATCATCACTATTAGAGGTTCTAGTTCTTATCTGAGTCCATCAACACATGCAGAGCAGAGGAGCAGTCCTGGCTCCAGTCTAATCATGTCGAGACACTGACTTGATCTGCTCTCACCTGTGAATGTGGAGCTGATGAACACTCTGACCATGTTGGACTTTGTCCTCTTAGCTCCATCTGTCCTTCCTCTCAGGATGTCCTGCAGGCTGACGTGTCCTCCTGCCGCCGCTGTACCCTCTGCCATCGTCTTCAGCCTGAAACCACAGTCCTGTTCCTCTCCGTCTGCCGTCTGATCTTCGCTCTCTGAGCTGCTCTCCCGTCTCCAGCCTGTTGGACCTCCTCAGAGAGTTCCCTCCAAAACAACCACTTCTCCCACATGAGCTGCAGTTGTAGCTGCTGAGCATCTGTTAGTGTTACTGTAGAGCACTGTTGTTGTAATCGAGTTAAACTAGATAAAACTGACAGAGTTCAAAATAAAATACTTTTCAGTCATCTCATGTTCTGACTGTAATATTCTTGCTAATGATGATAAAGGTCTTCCTTTTGTTTCTGCATGATGTGACCTGTTTACTACAAATTATTATACCTTTCCATCACTGCTGATTACTTTATGAAGCAATCTGTGGTACAGTTACAAGATGTAGTGTCTGTTGCTGCCATAATTTAACCTGAGACAGACTGTTTTTTTTCTGCTAAATTAAACGTCATGCTAAGCTAAACCATGCCACCACTAAACTGAACTGTTTACTATAAGATACCTCTTAATTACTGTTATGCTTAACCTGTTTCACCTGCTAAAAGGAACTGCTAGCTCCTCTTTATTAAACTATTTTAACCACTAAACTAGCTACCTTTAGGCAAACAGCTCCAACTGGTAAATTGAACAGTTAGCCACACTTAGCCAAAAGCCACCTGCTATCTTCCTCAGACCAAGCTGAACTATTGCAGCTAAAACGAACTGCTAGCTACTAGCTAGCCAAATAGGACTGTTGCTATTAGACACCTGTTAGCACCTGTTAGCTATCCCTAACCTGCTTTAGCTAAAATGATCAAATAGCTGCTCTTAGCGAAACTGAACTGCTAGCTACCTGTTAACCTACTTGAACTGTTAAATGGAACGAAACTGTTCTTACTAACCTGTGAGCTTCCTGTTAGCTACTAAACCAAAACTGGTCTGCTAGCTGCTACAATTAGCTGCTAGCTAACATTGCCCAAACTGAACTGTGAGCTACAGCACATGTCTGCTAAAGTGAACTGTCAGCTAACCTTAAACCATCTAGCTGCTGAAAAGTGTAGCTCTTTTTATAAGCTTGTTCCAACTTCTCAGATGGGAGTATTTGTTAATAATCTTACATGTACTTTGGGAAATGGTGTTGGAAATTTGTCACATATTTTTGACNCGATGTGGAGGTCATGAGTTCGAATCCCACTCATGATCCTTTTCCGTAGGTCCTTCTCTCCAGCTGTCCTGTCGGTCTCTCTACTGCACTGTCACATTTTTTAAAAAGGCCAAAAAATAAATTTAAAACTAACAAAAATAATCATAATAAAATCAAAACTAATGGAGGAAAATTGTCCCAAAAGCTAAATGATGAAAGAAATGCCGCCAAGTATTAACAACACACATAACAGTTAAATGTACCAAATGCCAATCATTTTTTCAAAATAACTCAAATATTGTCAAAAATGCCTTAAAAATTTTAAACTACACATGTGAAAATCTAGTTTTTTTTATAAGCTGCAGGGATCTTGTGCATTTTTGCACAGATATACATTGTTGTCTCTGAATATTTACAACAGAGGTAGAGATTGCAGGCTGGAATTATCCGTTAAGAAAGGTTGAAACACTCACAGTGAACGCTGGACCAGCTGAAACCCTTTGACAGGTTTGGATCTCCTGCAGGAAGATCTCACAGGCTTCGTGGTCTCCAGACGGGACATTTCGAATCCCCCAACGCAGATCTACAACCTGGAGAGGAAGTGACCTCACTGAGCAGGTATATACGGACACAGCATGTATAGAAATGAAGCAAAACACTTTGACCACTGGCAGATGAAGCAGAGCAAGGTGGACACATCAGACAGTAAGCAAGCCGCTGGTGCTGGATGTGAGCTGGTGTAAAGATCTGAACCACTTCAGCAAAATGGTGACGGACAGACAGCTGGGTCAAAGTATTTTTGATTTTAATTTTTATGGGCTGTTCCTGGTCCAGGCCTTAGCAGCTCAGAGCTGTTTCAGTGACAGGTGGTCATCAGTGTATTTAAACATTACACCAGTCACTCGATTGTGCTGTCATCAAGTTAAATCTTAGGTTTAAGGAGGAAACAGGTCCAGACTGACCTCAAACACCAGTCCCAAACTGCGACAGAAGGACAGGACTTCTGGGTAAGCCTTCTCCAGCAGGGCCTTCCTCTCACTGCTCATATCTGACCATAAAACAGAGAAGCTGTCAGACAAGCAAATCAAAGCAGAATCAAACAGTCCATCTGCTGTGGGGTCGAGACGACACTTTTATATACATGTCACCTGAACCATGTACGATAGCACAGGCGAAGTGAAGCGTTTTAACTTTATACTTTACATATCTTTGCTTGCTCTGGGAAGCACTTTTTAAGTTTAATTTCATTTGAGAAATATTAAGATATTAATATTATGACAAACAAGTTTGCTCATAGTTGTCTGGAGTGCTCTTTTGTCTTCATGGTGTAGCTACAGCCAGGACCACTGACTGCTGTCCTTATACTTCATTCACCTCACTACACTCAGATGACCTCCGTTTCACTAAACGTTTGACTTCTAGCACCAGTNCAGTCTATCACAGGGCTACACTTAGAGACAGACAACCAAGCACACTCACATTCACACCTACGGACAATTTAGAATCACCAATTAACCTCAGCATGGTTTTGGACTGTGTGGGAGGAAGCTGGAGAACCCGGAGAGAACCCACACTGCACGGGGAGAACATGGAGACTCCACACAGAAAGATCCCGGTGCCTCTACCAGGACGCGAACCGGCGACCTTCTTGCTGCGAGGCAACAGTGCTACCAACTGCGCCACCTTGCCGCCCCAAATGTATGTTTCCACTCCTATTTAGACACAACAGGCGTGTGCAGGCCACTGCTGAGGACGTTCTACGAGACTGTGGTGGCATCAGTGGTCTCTTATGCAGTAGTGTGCTGGGGAGGGGGGATAAGAGCCGACTCAACAGACTGATAAAAAGAGCCAGCTCAGTCTGTGGCTGCCCCCTGGACTCCATTGAGGTGGTGGGAGAGAGGAGGGCACTGGCCAGACTGTCTGCCATCATAGGAAACACCTCCCAGCCTCTGCATCAGACTGTGAACTCCTTACGCAGTGCATTCAGTGACAGACTGTTACACCCAAAATGTAAGAAGGAACGTTTCCGCAGGTCCTTCATCCCAACAACAGTCAGACTTTACAACGCTGCACTACAGACTCCACTGGTACCTCTGTTACTGCTGCACTTCTTCCTTTTTTTCCACCAACAAACACATTCCATTATGTGCAATAACCATGACTACCTCAAGTTGTGCATATAGTCTTCTTTTAAAAAATAAAAAAAAAACATCTTCTGTATATAATGTTTTTTTTGTCTTGCAATTTTTGCACTGTGTGTTTTCGGTTTCTGTTTCTTTCCTACTTTTTGCACTGGGTGTTCCCAACTATTCTTGCACTGACTGTACACTTTTTTGGAGCTGTTGTAACAGTGAACTTTCCCCACTGTGGGATCAATAAAGTTATCTTTATCTTTACACATGGATGGTAAAGAAGACAGAGTGAGACGACTTCCATGATTTCTGTAATCTCAGAGAAATCCTCTCCTTTAGGGGTTTCTCTACGTTGTGCCCACATGGACTGAACTACACACACTGTACCAGCTCACCTGCTCAGGTGGTGCAGTCATCCCGGCTGAGTGTTTACTGATCGAGGCCGCTGGGAGCTGCCGGGGCCCTCGGGTGCTGGTGCTCACAGCTGCAGCTCAGCGCTAATTACACTGAAGATGGATGATGATAATGAGGATAACAAAGCTGTGCTGTACAGCTCTGCTGACAGTTACCAACTTCTGACATCATGCAGGTGTTGTTGTTTCACCAGGTATTGTCTTTCTGTGTGAATCTTAAAAATAAGCTTCTGGTGGCAAACTGGACGTAAAGCAGTGCTTGTCTGAACAGCTAAGGTGATTAATATTACGCATCATTAGTTAAAAATAAAGGGCCAGAGGGGCTCATACAGGGGCTTTTTAAGTAAAGAAAAACATTTAAAAACAATATTCCTGTAACAGATCAAATGAAGAAACATAGATGTGAAACTAATGAACCTTTAATTCTAATGATGAGCTTTTACAGAGAAAGTTTAGATAGAAACTGCTAAACAATTTAACTGTAACAGTCCTATTTATCTCAAAAAGAGCAGATTCATTTTATTATATTGTTGGACAGATTCTTGTCAGACCTGCTTTAGGCCTCTGCAGCATTTTATTTCTATTAATGTAGTCATGATTATTTGTCACTTTGATTGATTGTACTTGTATTTGATGTTGGACTACATTCACCTGACAGAACTACCTGGAATCCTGTAAAGTGATCNGTGGGAGAGAGGAGGGCACTGGCCAGACTGTCTGCCATCATAGGAAACACCTCCCACCCTCTGCATCAGACTGTGAACTCCTTACGCAGTGCATTCAGCGACAGACTGTTACACCCAAAGTGTAAGAAGGAACGTTTCCGCAGGTCCTTCATCCCAACAACAGTCAGACTTTACAACGCTGCACTATAGATTCCACTGGTACCTCTGTTACTGCTGCACTTTTTCCTTTTTTTCCACCAACAAACACATTCCATTATGTGCAATAACCATGACTACCTCAAGTTGTGTATATAGTCTTCTTTAAAAAAAATAAATAAATAAATAAAAATCTTCTGTATATAATGTTTTTTTTGTCTTGCAATTTTTGCACTGTGTGTTTTCGGTTTCTGTTTCTTTCCTACTTTTTGCACTGGGTGTTCCCAACTATTCTTGCACTGACTGTACACTTTTTTGGAGCTGTTGTAACAGTGAACTTTCCCCACTGTGGGATCAATAAAGTTATCTTTATCTTTACACATGGATGGTAAAGAAGATAGAGTGAGACGACTTCCATGATTTCTGTAATCTCAGAGAAATCCTCTCCTTTAGGGGTTTCTCTACGTTGTGCCCACATGGACTGAACTACACACACTGT